GTTTAATACATCTATATTAATCTGGTGCAGTACTAGACAATCTGGTGAATGACTGCAGAGAACAAGAGAAACCATTAGGGTGCTCCCCCCCCCTACCCTCTAGAATAGCAAATAAAGGCCAACATAAAAGTAACTCAAAGATACATATACTGTATGCTATATTTTGCTCTCAGGATACTGGTCACATAAACTGGATTTATTTCACTAGTCTATTATGCCAAAGGGCGAACCCTATTCATATCCATGTACAGTATGTAACTGAACTGTTGAATAGGCTGAATCCATTTCAGTAAAATCTTGATAGCATTGCTTGCCAATCTGAACAAATTTAGATGTAGGAAATGCAGACAACTACCTGTATCCATATTTTAAATGCAAACGACATACACGAAACCAAAGGAAAAGCAAAATAACAAGTAAAGAAGAAAAGAACAATTTTAATGTCAGAGAGAAAACATACAGCAGGTTGTGAATGGAAAACAAAGAGAAAGAGGTTCTCAAGAGGATTAAAATATTGGTACCATGCAATTGTAAATAAATTATTTTGCAAAAGAATCTTCCCTGTTCATTGCTATGTATCTTAAAATTTGTAGAGCCATTTGGTATAGAATAATGCAGAATAATGCAACTACAAGAATCTAGCCAAAACCAAGTAACACTCTGAACTTTGGACAAAAAACCCCATTGTAGTCAACAGGACAACTTCAGCATTATATTAGGGTGCTAGTTAACAAGAATCTTTCTGTTTTCTCTGTGGACTTTGGATAAAGCCTGCACGTCAAAAGATCATTGATTTTCTTAAGTACAGTGAAAGATTTAGTTTCAATGTTTCATGAGAGTGTATTTATTTTAATTTTCTCATACTATTAACATTCTCAGTAAATATACTATCCATAGAGTTCAATAGGGATAGACAAAAGCTTCTCTAAAATGCCTGAGTATTCACAATTATATGATGTCTCTAAGTGAGCTGAAGTCTATTCTGGAGTTATGTATATATATATATATGAATACATAACTCCAGAATATGTATTCACTATGCATATACTCTGGCCCCATTTCCTCCACAATCTTTTTGATCACATTTCTACATGTAGGTAAGTTGAAAGATGAATAATTCCGCTAGCTATGGGAGTTTTATGTGAATCAGGACTTTGGAAAATCAGCATCCTGAGTCATGTGGAAAGCCCCCATGGATAGTGGAACTCTCCCTTTTCAGGCTCATCCTCCTCCACATGTAGCCAGATGACAAAGCTGGGTCTGGGGAGAACGTTAGGGAAATATATGTGAATAGATAATGCCTAAATAAACCTCCAGTCAGACATAATGATATGGCTTCTTGTAAGAAATATTGCGCTCATGACATAATGCCACAACAGTGTCTACTGAAGTCAGTAAGTTACTTCACCTTATCCCTTTGCATAGTAATCTCCATGGAAAACCCCCCAGAGATGTTCAAGGCACATAATATAGAAACAATGTTCTACATCAAGACATGCTGAAGTTAAGGGTAAACAGCACGAATGAAAGGTTTTCATTACAACTTAGGGGGCCATTCCAACATTATCTTAATGGTATGAGAACCATCACAGCATCTTTCATGCATTCCTCTAGCCTTGGAAATTCAAGTGGTGTGACCTAGATTGTGGACAGGGCATATATCAAAGTAGGGGGTGCAAAATATTTATATACAGTATTTTATTTTGGAAGTGAAAACTTCTTTAAGTTTTTTTCCATGCTATGTGAGATTGTAAGAGCTATTGTGCTTTTACCCTTTCTTTCTTTCTTTCTTTCTTTTTCTTTTTCTTTTTCTTTCTTTCTTTCTTGGCATTTTGGGATTTTTTTGGTGGAAAATTCACAGAGATGAATGCAGAAATACAAAAGTGCATTTTCACTTTAGAATTTGCATTTTGTGCCACATACAAGGCTTTAATATAAGGTGCATGCTTCTTGTGAACCAAGAAGTTTCTTTGGGAAACATGCTCTTTTTACTAATGCTGCTGGCAAAAAAAATAAGTGCTGTTCTTTTCGCTCTCACTCAAGAATGAAAAATCTTAAAGCAATTGACAGGGTTTTGTTTTCATCTTTTTTTTCATGGAGATGAACAATTGCTACAGCATTTTACATGCCTGTTTCAAAAGGGACTCCAGTTGCTGGAAGTAAATTGCTGGTGGGGTTATGTTTGGCATAACCCCCATCTTTTCTATGCAGAGGTGAGGAGTATGTAGCCTTCCAGATGTTATTACATTAAAATTTCCACCAGCCCTGGTCAGTGTAGCTATGCCATTAAGAATTCTGAAAGATGTAGCCCGACAGCAGCTGGAGGACTGCACACGCCGCCCCCCCCCCC